TGATAGCATTTATTATCTTACAAGCGACTCCCTGAATTTTGTTGATTTTTCAAGTATGCTTACATTGTGAGTAGAATCTATTCATAGACCTTTCCTCTTTCCCTGTCTCCTGACTATCCAAATTAACCAATCTGTAAAAACTTTCTTTTTCCTCTAGTAGATTTTCTTGGCTTATTAGAATTCACTCTTTATCTTTCATCTATATGAATATCATTTTCCTTTAATACCCCATGTTGCTGTCTAAAAAAAAAATTCATTCCCCTATGAAACAATTTTGCCTTCCAAAAGAGTGAGCTATTATTGATAGTTTTTGTTTGTGTTTTTGCTAAATTATGTATCATTATTTACTGTTTTCTTAAATATATTTCCCTGAAGTGGTTAACACTTTATATTTTTGAGGGATTTAAAGTTTTCCATTTTATTGATTGTTCCTTGAAAATCTTTTCATGTTTTGATTTTGCTTTTTCAGTACTGTGCAACCTCATAATATTTGAATGATTTGAAAATGTTAAGTCTGTATTACTACAGTTTCCAGCTTATGTTCTTTTTCTAAAGTATTTGGACTTAACCTGACAGGAAACATGGATATTCATAGAAAGTAACCCTGACACTACTATCATCAAATTCCTGCTTTCTTTGTGTTTCTAAATATGTAGTTAATTTGATTTGGATTTATTTATATTTTAAGAAGGTACCATATACTTACCTTTTCTAAATGCAAATTGGATCCTTTTACCAGTAACCATTCATTTTTATTGCTGCTTACAGACTCTTGACAGTTATATGTAATGAATGCAGTTTCTGTTGTGTTTTTCTTTTTATTTTTAAAAGTTCCCAAAACATGATAGATAATTCACATATAATTTAGTGAATAAGGCAAAAAAAATTTTCTTTAAAACTAAACCATAAATATGTAGCTAACGTGTCTAAAGTATGAGATATTATTAATTTAGCCAAATCTTAATCTTTATTTATGTAAAGATCCTATAAAGTGATTCCTACCCCCAATTTTGTTAATTCCTCATTTATTTTAAAGGATATCACAAATTATTTTATTAGAAACATTCATTTTTAGCATGTTTCTGATGGAAGAATATAGGATATTAACACTAAATCATTCGGACACTGTTGATCTAGAAAAAGTCAACCTGAGTTGCTTTAACAACTGTCTCAACAACATCTTCCAGGATTATCACATACATTTTTGAGGTACCATAGGGGAAGTGTGACATCATGATGTAGCAAAATCACTGGAATTAAAAATGATGCAACCAATGCTCAGAGCCCATTTTTGCAACTAACCCGAAGCAAATCACTTGACAGAAATTTCACCTGATTACACAAAATTGTTGTGAAGATTTAGATGGATTGATTTCACACCTAATTCTCAGTTTCTCCCTGCATACAGGAAGAATAATTTGGATGCAAAATATTCCTTTCGGGTCTAAAATTCTGATTTTTACGTTCCTGAATATAGATATTTTGAAAAGTATAAGTTCTCATATATAATATATTTATAAAATTGAACAATTAGGCAGGAAATTGTGACCAAATGCATTACATTGTTGACTCTTTACAATGGGATGGAAGATGAATGTGGCTGATAAGCTATAACATTCTCTCATAAGCTTCAGTGGATTTAGTTTCAAAGTTTTGGATTCTGCTTATCATGCTCTACTAAAAAATTTTGTAAGGCATTATGTTTTCATACTTATTCAAATATATCTACTCTAATAACAAACCATACAGCTTAATATATTTCAAAGCACATGACCCTGGCCATAATGTCCAATCATTTTTCAATTGTTGCATTTACAGGTTTGGGTAAAATTCTAAAAGCATTCCATAAATTATTTTTCCTGCCCCCAACCTTGGATTATTTTTAAGCTTTTATTTATTCCAGATGCTACTGTGACTGTTAAAATTGGTTTAATTGCTTATAGGCACAGCTTAGATTTAAGTTGAGTCTGAAAATGAAAAGTGAGGAAAGGTAGGTCCAACAATGCCCAAACCTAACATAATGTTGCAAAAGAAGCTAAATACTTGGAGTCAAAACACCTCACTTCAGTTATTTGAAGAGTATGATTATTAATGGGATATATAGACTTCTGACTCGTACTAGTAGTGGTTTTCTTGAGGAAACTGGCATTTTATACAGTGTTTTCTTATTTTAAAACTTGACCACATAAAACAAGAGAGAATACTTGCTAAGCTAATTTATTTTCAAATACAAACTGTTACAGAATAAAAGAATGTAAAATTAAAAACTTCTGTCCCCATCATGTACTCTTTGCAAGTCCAGAGATAAATGCTGTTAAGACTGGTGTGTATTGCTTGAAAAATTTCTTATGCACATACAAGTGTATGCACATGTATGTGCTTCTGCTTTTCTTTCTCCCATACATACAATTTCTTTTTATGTACTATGTCTTGTACCTTTTTATATATCATTACACATAGATCTTTATATGGCTTCATAATGTCCCATTGTATGGATGCATCATAATTTAGCCAGTCCCCTTAAAGTACTTTGCTTTTAACAGTGTTTCTGTGAAGATTCTTGTATGTATGTCTTGGCATACTTTTGCTTACAGTAAATTCTAGCAGAATAGTTGACTCAAAGAATATGTTCAGTGGATTTGTGTAATCTTGATTTTGAATTAAGTTGAACAGTCTTTCATATTTATTGGTTAGATTTTATATTTTGTTTTTGCTAACCTAGTCATATCCTTTAGATACCTTACTCTTGGTTTACTCATTTTTCTTTTTTTGGTTTATTCAAATTGTTAGAATTCTGAAAATTATCAAATATGTCTCTATTAATATTTTCCCAACTTATCCTTTGATTCTTAGGCTACTTTGCTTTGTTTACTTGATTTTTTTCAACCACTCAGTAATGTTTAATTTCTAAGTACTTCCCAATTTTTTTTATGTTAGGTTTTATGGACTTTATTTTATTTTGGCCTTTCCCACTCCAGTATTAAAATGTTACTTTTTATAGTACTTTTACAGTCGTTTTGTGTGCTCAGATCATTGACCAGTTTGGAATTAATTCGGTGTAAAGAGACAAATAAGGATCCAACTTTAGCCAGTGAGTTGCCTAAAACCATTCATATGATAGCACATGTTTTTACCCACTAACTTGAAATGCTTCTTGGAAATTTCTATACTGAGATAGATAGGATTTTTTAAAAATCTCATATGCATATGAGACTATAATCTGTATTCTTTCCATTGATACATCATAGAAACTTCTGCCCAGCACCATCTCTTTCAATACTGCAGCTTTGCAAATTGTATTGCCTGCTAGGGTGCTTCCCATTCTTTCATAATGTATTAGCTGTTTTCTGATTTTTCTTCCAGATAAAATTTTAGTGTAATTTTAATCAATCACTTTTCTTCCCCTTCTTTACCTCCATCCTCCAAAAATCACCGTCTTGGTATACTTAAAAGAGTGTGAGGTAGAGAGATGAGGGGCACAATGAGGTTTGGTGGTGGTGGTCTGAATGCCATCTGTATTTTACTGAATTTTTATATCCAAGAATAAGGTATGGATTTTCATTTTCAAAATTGTATTCCTCCAATAAAGTGGTCATGGCTTTTATCATATAAGTTCTGCACATTATTTGTAAAACATGTATAAATGTTTGTCTTTATTACCCTTAAAAGTGATTTTTTTCCTTATATTTCCAAATTGATTACTGGATTTTATATACTAAAGTTTCCAGATATACTGTTATTTGCAAATAATTTCTACCTCTCTCCTCTAATATTTGATAGTTCTTTCTCTTAATAATTTATATTGTCTTAATGATTCATTTCATCTAGTTTTTCAAGTTTATTTTCATAATTTATAAATTAGTAATCTTAAAATGTTCTGTATCTGTGGCTGTGTCCCTTTTTCATTTTCAATATATTTGTGTTTAATTTTTACAATTTTTAAAATCAAGAGTGAGAATACTTTTTCTCAGTATTTTATAATCTTTGATGTTAGAAACCCGCCCCCCCGTGCAAGTAATCTGTAGTTTTTTATTGTCGCAAATAAAAAGGAAGACCATTCCTTGAGCTTTCTATACCAACATGATTATGAAGTCACATCTTAGCTTTCTTCTAAGCTAAATAATTTTAGTTTTTCAACTAAAGTTTTCAACTGAAGTTTTTCAACTTCAAGGAACACAATTTTCTAAACTCTATCCTCTTTTGTAATTTCTTTAGAACTTCTTTTTGCCTCAGTTCTCAACATGCCTTCTTTAGGGGGAATCTTAGTCACAGTTACAATGCTTATCTTTAAAAATAGGCTAACCTTCCATGTATTTTAATAGTCAAAATAACTGCTCTCAGAAGAAATGATACTGAAAATAGAATTTAAAATAACGTTTTTGTATGGTTATATTTAGATTTTTCTGGAGCAAAGTACTTTTAACAGACAATGTCATAGATAGACCATGTTTTAGTAGTCCTGAAAATAAAGATTGTTACATAAGTAGGCCTTTGGGGTCCCCTGTTTGTCCAGAAATGCTGTTGTTTATTTTTTGCTTTGATTGTTTCAGTTTTCTTGGCATTTTTTAATGAGTTCTGAGACTGGCAAAAAAAAAATCAAGTTTGTAAGACACATAAGGAATTTCCAGGGAAAAGACAAAGCAAGAGTTAGATACGTGTTTTTGTGTATGTTTCTGTACAGGTGTAATCAAATACTAATATATTTTCCAAGATAAAATTGCTTTAATATTATATCTCAGAATGAATTTAAATTTTGTTAAGATTATAGTATCTTTAAAAATCTAGCATTTAAAGATGTTACAATTGTGTAATCTTAATGCACTAGATAATTTTTTAAAGGAAGCAGCAATGATTTTGTAAATATTTAATTCAAATTTTTGATATGTATATATTTCTTATGGAAGTATGTTAATGATTTGCCCCCATTGAGAAAACGTTTTTTTAAAAAAATCATAAGGTATTATGGAATATTATCAATTTTTTCTCTCTCATTTTTTAAGGTCATGGAAAATGGAAGATTTGCAAAATACAAGTATTTCACCCATGTCATGATCAATAAAACAGATATGTTTATGATAACCAGACGGTAACTTGCCTTCTTTCCCTAATGTGATTCAATACGGGGTTAATAGCCACCTGTGAAGAGTTGTTATTCACCCTTTGTACCATAGTCACACTGATTTCTGCTAACTCTGGTTCTCTTGCTTGGTAAAGCTGGTTCCTAAGACATTACATAAATTCATGTTTAGCTTTGTGCTTGCATACAGATAAACAGTGGTACACAAGCATAAATTGAATATTTTAGCATTTGCTTCATTGAATTCATTGAGTACTGAAATTCCGTACATTGGCCTCTCAAAGGAAACTTCCTTTCTGTGAAAAAGTATACAACTTCAGGTTATATCAGAAGAGCCCTCTGATGGTAGCTATTCGTTAGCGTATAGATTCACATACATGAGCATACCGGTGGAAACAATGTTTATGTCAGTACTCCAAGCTACAGCAGCATCTTCAGATAAGACCTATAGACAGCGGGAGGGAGGGTATGTGCAAAAATACAGCGACGCAGCCTTGTTCCAGCAGGCCCTGTGATGAGGGATTGGTGAAAGGGGGTGAGGGACAGAAGATTGTGATGAGAGGCATCAACCCTGATCAGCTTTCTCCGTTTGCATTTAGGACAGGAGTCAGCTATTGCTTTAACTCAATCCCTTGACTTAAAGTATGTTACTTAAAAGAAAACTATGGTTACACCTAAGATTGAGGTTTTAACCAACCACAAAGCGAAATTGGAAAAAGCTTTTGAAAGAAAAATTAAGTAGGGGCCGGGGATTTAGCTCAGTGGTTTTTCCCCCTCCTGCGCAAGCGCAAGCGTAAGGGCCCGAGTTCGATCCCCAGTACCAAAAAAAAAAAAAGAATTAAATAGAATTATTATAAACAATACATCTGTATTTCTTAATTTCTCCCCCCAAAATAGAACAAGTAATTAAAAAGGTGATTTTTTTTTTGAAATTTAATCCTGAAACCTGGTGTGGTGGTACACGCCTGTAATCCCAGCACTTGGAGAGCTGAGTCAGGAGGATCGCTACAAATTTGAGGCCAGCCTGAGCTACATCATGAGTTCAAGGCCATCCTGAACTGCATAGCAAGACCCTGTCTCAAAAAAAATAAATAAATGAAACTGGGCTGGGATTTTGTTCAGTGGCGCTGCGCCTGCCTTACAAGTACAAGGTCCTGAGTTCAATCCACAGTACCAAAAAAACAAAACAAATTATAAAGCTAAGTAGTGGACTCTGGGAGACTGAGGGAGGAAGATCACAAATTTGACCCAAGCCTGGAGAACTTAGCAACTGGGAGACTGACTTGAAATAATTTAAAAGGGGAGGGAATGTAATTCATTGCAAAGGCCCTGAGTTTAAAACGTAGTACTCAAAAATAAAAAAGAGGGAGGAAGACTAATAGAACTTTATTCGGTCTGAAAAACCCAAGGCTCCTCAGCATGTTGATTCTGTTCAACGTGGTTACAAAAGCCTCTTGCTGATGTAGGCTGGGAAACATTACATGGAGCCTTAATAATAAGACATTTATTCTGAAGTGTGAATTACATCAAGGTCCCTAAATGTTGACTAATTGAGCCTATAAATGTTTTTCTCTTACAAGGTACTTGCTATGTTTAACTTTAAAAGCACTTCAGTTTTTCTAGTATATTACATTGCAGATTTCCCACTAAGTATTACATTATTAGCTGCATCCCACAAATTTTACAGTTTTATTCTCATTCTGTTCAAAATATTTTCTAATTTCTTTTAAGATTCTTTGATCTGTGGAATATTTTAGTAATATCTTAATTTCTAAGCATTTGGAAATACATAGTTTAGTGTCATTATTACCTTTATGATTTCTGTACCTTTAAATTCATAAGTATTTTTATGACTCAGAATAAAATTTATCTGCGTGAATATGATGTGCATTTGCAGAAAACATGTATTCTATATTACTAGATACAAGTTCCTCAATTTTTAAAGTGGATTTTTTTCCTCCCTCCCCCACAAACAGTGGTGTATTGTTTGTCACAAAGGGAACATTTGGACAACTTACATGTGAGTGGCAGTATAGTTTTGATGAATTTACCAAAGAACCATTCATTGTTCATGGGAGAAGACTGCGCATTGAAGCAAAGGTATGTTTACTAGGTTGTTTGGAAAACTTTGAAGTGAAAGCACTGCATTTTGATATAATCGCCTTTATTTTTGTAATGTTTCTGTTTTATAAATAAAAGTTACTTTGTCTTGGTATGGTTTTTCTTTACTCTTGCTCTTATTCAGGCTTAAAGAAGAAAAAAAGACCAGCTAAGAATAAAAGTGCTACTTTCTGTGCTATTACATTGACAGCTGCATTCTTAGACCCTACCTTTTTCAAACATGAAAAACTGATCTATCCCATATGCCTTCCTTGGATTTTTTTTTCCTATCTTTTTTTCTTTCTGAATATAATATTTCCTCTTATCTCCTTCATTTCTTTCTTTCTCACCTTTTTTTTTTTTTAAAGTTTGGTTCAGCAATCATCCTACTTTTTTTTTTAAAGAAACTAATTTCTTCTGGAGTCTGTATTTGTGTTATTTGTGTTACAGAAATTGCTAAACTAGTAAAACCACCACCTTTCTTCTGTGGTCCTCCATAGTACACCATCCTCAGTAGTCCCATTTTGCTTCTTGTTTTCCTCTGCAGTGTGTAATATCTGCTGTTACACAGTTCTCCCCAACAAATACCTCACAGAATACCAAAGGAATGGAGGCAAATCATTAGGATGGGCCCACTCCAATTTGTTTGATTTCAAACTACACTCTTATTGCATGACTCATTTAAGCTGTCCCAAATACATACATGCATACACACATGCATACAGTGTATATATATATATATATATATATATATATGTATCTATATGCACATGTATATATTATCTTTGATCTGGACTCAATCAGGATTCCATGGCCATATATGAAGAATTGTCTGAGATATATTTTGGAGAGGAAATACAGTGGCACTACTCCCAGATTTACTTCCTCCCATTTTCTGTTTAACTCTTTCTGGCCTTAGCAGGTAAAATCTCACCATAAGCTTTCTAACTTAGGTTTGGTGATAGTGGACATGTTAAAATGTAGCATTTTGTTATGATTCTTCTTGGTATCTCATTCTTGGCTTCTTTAAGGTGCATGATTTGTGTATGTTCAGTGTTTTAAACATAGAATAATAAATTTGTGTGACATTTCTTTATTGTATTTTTACAACTGCATTGTCTTTAATGAAATTATATATTCTTTTTTGAGGAACGGGTGAAGTCTGTATTCCATGCCAGAGAGTTTGGAAAAATAATTAACTTCAAGACCCCAGAGGATGCTAGGGTAAATATAATAAATCTTTTACTTAAACCAGGTAGCACCTTCTCACTTCAAAACCATGTAAATGCACTGTTTTTTTTTAAAAGCAGGTAAGTTTTGAGACTTTTGTTTTCATGTTTTGACCGTTGCTCCTGTATGTAACTAGATCATATCCCCCCAAGACTTTTTTGACTAGATTCAACACTCTTGCTTATGTTTCAAATCAAATTGCTCTTCTTTTAAATCCTAACTATAATATTTTGTTTTTAAAAATCAACAGATTGTTCCATTCTAATATTAATTAGCTCTAGTAGAGAGAGTATGGCCCCATATTGTTGATTTCTCTACTGAACAACTACAGTGATTTAACAAAAGAAAAAAAAAAATTACCATGGCATGGCAGAGGGACAGAGGGAGCCAAACTTGTAGTCAGAAAATCCTGATTCTATTCTTTCTTGATGAGAGAACCTTGAGGAAAAATCACTTAACCCTGGTTTCTTCAAAATAGGGGTGATGTGAATTGAAAAGCCCTATCCTATACCACTTCAGAGATGATTGCAGTTACCAGAGTATGCACTTCCAAGAAAATGAAGACTGTAACAAGGATGCTATTCCTAACACTGCATTGTACTTACTGTGTTGGAAAATAAGATAAGAATACCTGAATTCTTTACTTGATCCCCAGGCCTCCTGCTCAAATGTAGAATATGTCACCTGACCCCTGGCCTCATACTATTCTCAGGGTTGGTCCTGGCTGAATATGGCCATTTACCAGTTTTCTTATAACATCCAGACCCAAAGCAGGGGTTTCTTGACCCTCATCCCAGTTAGCATGTGTTGGGCAATTTTCTATCTGGAAGTTGTGATATAAGGCAACATTGGCATACTAACAGTAGAAAATGGGAATGCATTACAAAGAAGTAAAGCAACCTAATATATATGTCACTTGGAAGAGCAAGACAGTATGGAGCAGGGTAACATGACTTTTTTAGGCTGCGTTTTTTTCATGTTACTGAAGGACATTACCACCTATTTTGGTTTCTCTATAATAAATTTTCCATTTAACTCCTGTCACAATTTGACATTAATCCAGACAGTTTTAATTCTCTTGCTGTGTCAGAGACATGCAGAGAAAGTTACTGAGCTCAGTTCTCTTTCTCTACTTGTCTTAGGGAATAAAGAACCTACTCCCTCTAGATTCCTCTACCTATTCCCACTAGATTTCTAAAGTTGAAGATGCACCAATGTCTCTGTTAAATCTTTTTTCTTTGTCTGAGGGAGTGATACTTTTTTTCAGTATATTTTTGACTAATATAAAGTCATAAAAATTTTACATATTTACATTACATGGAGTACCATGTAATGCCTCAATAATAAATATATAGTATAGTGTTTAAATCAGGCTAAACATATTTCTCTCCTCAGACATTCATCATTTATGGTGAAAACTTTCAAAATCCTTTTCTTCTAGCTGTGTGAAGTGCATAGTTTGTTATTATCTATAGTCACTGTATTGTGTGTTAGCCACCAGAACTTCTTGTTCCAAACTGTAACTCAGTTACATTCTAATCATTCTTTCCCATCTCTGCCATGCCCTCCTCTCCCCAGCTTCTGGTACCCTCTCATTGTATTCTCCACTTCTGTGAGATCAACTTTTTTTAGATTGAACGTATGAGTGAGATCGTGTGGTACTACTTTTTGTGCCTGGTTTATTACACTTAACATAATAATCTCCATGTTCTTATCACAAATGATAGAATTTCATTCTTTTTTATGGTGGAAGAATATCCCATTATGTATATGTGCTACATTTTCTTTATCTGTTCGTTACTTGATGGATACTTGAGTTATCTCCATTTCTGGGCTACTGTGTATTAAGGATTGCTGGATCCTATGATAGATTTTTAACTTTTTTGAGGAATTTTCATGCCGTTTTCCATAATGGCTATACTAGTTTATATTCCCACCAATAATGTGCAAAGTTTCCCTTTTCTCTACATCCTCACCAGCACTTATCTTTAGTCTCTTTGGTAATGGCCGTTCTTACTGGGATTAGGTGATACTTCATCATTGTTTTGATTGGTAATGTTGAACATTTTTTTATGAACCTGTTGGCCTTTGAGCTATGTCTGTTTAGATCCATTGTTGAGTTTTTTTGTTGAGTTTATTGCATTATTTGTATATTTTGGCCATTGACCTCTTGTCAGAAGTGTAAGTTGTACATATTTTCTTCCATTCACTAGATTGTCTTTGTGCATTGTTGATTGACCTTTGTTATACAGAAGCTTTTTGCTTTAATGTAAGCTTTGGGGATATGCTTTGATGGTATGCTTTGGAGGTCTTAGCCGAAAAATTCTTGCTCATTCCAATGTCCTATGTTTTCTTATAATAGTTTCATAGTTTCAAGTCTTTAATCCATTTAAATCTTTAATCCATTTTTACTTAATTTTTGTAACTTGTGAGAAATGGGAGTCTACTTTCGTTCTTCTGCATATAGACATCAAATTTTTCCAGCACCATTTACTGAAAGACTGTCCTTTCTCTAATGCATATTCTTGGCACCGTTGTTAAAGATCAGTTGGCTGTGGATGAGTGAATTGACTTCTAGGATATCTGTCCCACTGGTCTGAGTTTCTTTTTGTGCCAATACTATTCTGTAAAGTATTACGTATTTGTAGTTTGCTTGGAAGTCAAGTAGTGGGACACCTTCTGCATTGCTCATTTTGTTCAAGACTTCTTTGGCTATTCATGATTTTATGATTCCATATAACTTTTAGAATTGTTTTTTCATATTCTTCAAAAAAAGTCATTTTGGTAAAGGTTACATTGAATTTGAAAATTACTTTGGATAGTATGGACATTTTAACAATATTAATGCTTTCAATCCAGGAACATGGATTTGGTGTCATCTTCAATTTCTTTTTTTTCTTTTTTTTTTTTTTTGGTACCGGGGATTGAACTCAGGTCCTTGCGCTTGCGAAGCAGGCAGCGAAACCACTGAGCTAAATCCCTGGCCCATCTTCAATTTCTTTCATTAATTTTGTATAGTTTTTATTGTTGAAATCTTATACTTCTTTGGTTAAATTTATTCCTAGGTATCTTTTGTACATATTATAAATTGGATTGCTCTCTTGATTTCTATTTCAGATAATTTGCTATTGGCATATAGAAATCATAATTTTTTTTGTATGTTGATATTTGTGTCCTGCAACTTTGCTAAATTTATATATTAGTTCTGATAGTTTTTTGGTGGAGTTTGGGGGGTTTTAATAAGATCATGTTATCTACAAACAGTGATGTTTTTACTTCTTTTCTAATTTGGATGCCCTTTGATGTTTTTCTCTTACCCTATTGCTCTGGCTAGGACTTCCAGAACTGTTTTGAATAAAAGTGGTGAAAGTAAGCATCCTTGTCTTATTTTAAATAATAGAGAAAAAGTGTTCAGCTTTTACTTGACAGCTGGCTTATTATAAATGGCCTTTGTTATGTGGAAATATTTAATTTTGTTTGACATTTTTGTCGTGAAAGGATGTTACATTTTATCCCATTCCTTTTCTGCACCTCCTTAGTCGAACATAATGGTTTTGTTCTATATTCTGTTAACATGATGTGTTACACTCATTAGGTTGTGTATATTGAGCTACCCTTGGTGTCCCTGGGATGAACTCCACTTAATCATGATGAATTATCTTTTTAATAAACTGTTGAGTCTCCTTTACTAGTATTTTTCTGAGGATTTTTGTGTCTATAGTCACTAAAAGAATTTGGCCTCTAGTTTTCTTTTTGTGTTGTATCTGCCTCTGGTTTTGGTATCAGGGTAAGAGTGGCCTCATAGAATGAGTTTAGAATCGTTCCTTTTCTACATTTAAAAAGTGGAGAATTAGTATTAGTTCTATGTTTTGTAGAATTCAGCAGTAAAGCCATGTGGCACTGGCCTTCTCTGTGTTAGGCAGCCTTTTCTTACTGGCTCAATCTCGTTACTGGTCCATTCAGGTTTTCTTTCTTCATGATTCAGTCTTTTGGTGAGGTGTATATGTATTAGAAATTGTCCATGTCTTCTAGGTTATCATATTTGTTGTTCATCATAATCTCTAATGATTTTTTATATTTCTGTGATATCAATTGTGATGTTTCCCTTCTAATCTCTAATTTTACTTGAACCCTTCCTCTTTTTCATAGTCTAAGGATTTGTCTATTTTGTTTATCTTTTCAAACAATGAACTGTTTGTTTTGTGGATCTTCTGGGTATTTTTAGTCTCTATTTTATTTACTTCTTCTCTGATCTTTATCATTTCTTTCCCTCTACTGATTTTGAATTTGGTTTGTTCTTGTTTTACCAGTTCCTTGAAACGCAGGTGATAGGTAGTTCGGTTTTTGATTTGGTGATTGGTTGTTATAAATGTCCCTCTTAGTATTGGTCTTGCTGTGTTCCATTGGTTTTAGTATGATGTGTTGCCTTTTTCATTTGTTTCAAAAAATTTCCTTCTTTTTTGATCCATTGGTTGTTCAAAAAAAGTTAAGTTTAATTTCCATATGTTTGTATAGTTTCAAAAGCTTTTCTTGTTCTAGGTTTACTGCATTATAGTCAGAAGATATTTGATGGGATTTTAATTATTTTAAATTTGTTGAGATTCATTTTATGGACAGTTACATGATCTGTCCTGTAGAATCTTCCATTTCAACAGCTGTCGGAATATTCTGTAGATGTCTTTTAGGTCCATATTGGTCTAGTGTACACTGTAACTCAGTTATTTCTTGTCTGGATGGTCTGTCCATTGGTGAAAGTAGGGTATTAAAATCTCTACCCATTAGTAGAGTCTTTCTCTTTAAGACTATATTAATAGTTGCTTTAAACTGAGCATGGTGGCACATGCCTATAGTTCCCAGATACTTAATAAGATGACTTGAGAGGATCACTTAAGCCCAGGAGCTTGAGATCAGTCCACACAACATAGCAGGACCTCATCTCCAAAAAAAAAAAAGCTTTATTTGGTTAGTCCAGTTGAGTGCATATATATTTAAAATTATTTCCTTTTGCTAAATTGACTCCTTTATCAATGTAATGACATTTCTTGCCCATTTCTATGGCATTTGAGATAAAGTCTGTTTTATCTGATACAAGTATGGCTACTCTTGTTTCATTTTGGATTCCATTGCATGGAATGTCTTATTCTATCCCTTTATTTTCAGTCTGTCTGTGTCCTTAGATGTTAAATGTATTTCTTGTAAGCAACATATAATTTGGTTTTATTTTTTTAATCCATTCAGTCACTCTTTTAATTGGAGAATTAACATTTATCCTCAAGGTAATTATTAATAGACATGGTCTTAACTGCAGCCATTATAATAGTAATTTGTTTTCTATTTTTGGAGTCGGTGCTTTCTTTCTCCTTCTCTTGCAGTCTTCTTTTGTGGCTAACCAATTTACCCTGGTTGTGTATTTTGAATCCTTGTTTATTATTTTAATTTTTCTTTTATAGATTTTGTGCTTTGTGGCTACCATAAGGCTTACACAAAACATCTTTTCATTATAAATACCTATTTTGAAATGATAACAATGTAACATGCTTTTAAAGAATAAAAACAAAGAACAAGAGAAAATACAGCAATAAGAAAACTCTACAATTGCAAGCCATTTCTCTTCACATTTTGAATTTTTGGTATCCCATTTTACATCCTTCTGTATTGCCTATCTCTTAACATATTTATGTAGTTTTTATTTTTAACAGGTTTGTATTTTTAATCTTAATCCTAAAGAAATAAATGATTCACACACCATACTTGCAATATTAGAGCATTCTAAATTTGCACAATTACTTGTAAGTTTTATATCTTCTCTTTTTATTCACAAACACCTCTTTAAGCTTAAAGAACTTCCTTTAACATTTCTGGTAGAACAGGTCTGGTGGAGATACACTTTCTCAGTTTTTATCTAGGAATGTCTTTATCTTTTATTTCTAAAAGATAGTTTTGCTGGGCGCAGTATTCTGTTGAGATTTTTTCATTTAGTACTGTGAAAATATCATGTTACTCTCATGCCCTATGAGGTTTCTGCTAGGAATTCTGCCATCAGGTGAATTAGGATACCCCTATAAGTTGTTTCTTTTCTCTTGCAGCCTTGAGAATATTCTTTCACCTGTAACAGTTTGTATAAAATGTCTTGGAGTAGATTTGGTTGCATTAAATTTGGTGGCTTTCTACCTTCCTATATTTAGATATTTTTTATCATTCTCAAGGTTTGGAAAGTTTTTTGTTATTTCTTTGAATAAGTTTTCTATTCCTTTGGCATTTTCCAGTCATTCTTGAACTCCATTAACTCAAATATTTGCTCTGCTAATACTATCCAGAAATCCCATAAGCTTTCCTCATTCTCTTTTCTCTTATATCTGTGTACTTTCAAATAGCCCATGGTTGAGCTCACTAATTGTACTGATGACTTCCATCACATTTTTCATTTTATGTAATGTATTTTTCAGCTCAAGAATTGGTTTAATTGCTTCCATCTCTTTGAGTTTCTGGATTAAGAATACTGAAAATTTTCTGTATATTTTATTCAAGCTTATTGAGTTTCCTTAAAACAGCTATTTTAAATTCTGAGAGTTTTCCCAAATTGATTACTCTCTGGTCACTTTGTAGCACCTTGTTAGGCAAGGTCATGGTTTCTTGAAAGTTCTCGATGCTTATTGGCAGGTGATGCTATCTGGGCATTGAAGGAGGAGTCTATTTATTCCAGTCTTTCTAATATGGCTTTGTCCTTGTCTTTCCTGAAATTCTAAACCAACTGCTTTTTTTTTTTTTTTTTTTGTCTATGATCATTTCTATTTCAGCACTGGATGCCACACAGGTCCAGAATCTAAGGTTGTCCTAAATACACTGTTGATGTATTGTTCAGAAAAAAAAATGAGAAAAAACTATATATAGTCATCTGTCCCTACGTGCTTCTGTGACAGTAGGCCCAGAGCCCTTATTCACAGTTACCAGCATATGGTCAGACACTGCAGGATTCTCTGTAGCTCTGGGCAGAGTCACCATGGATGGATCAGCTCTGGGCACCTATGTCATTCCTGTAGCCACCAACCTGTGATACCCCCTGAGCCTACAGCCCACCAAGATCAGTACAACACTGGGGTAAGGCCATGGCTTTTCCTGCTATAGACTACCTGTTGCTGAGCCCAGGACCTCTGCAGCTACCTATAGATAATGCTAGAAGTCTGACAGACTGGGACTACATGTTTTCCCCTGGCACTGGAGCACTTCTAGGAACTCCATCTATAGGCAGGCCTGGAGATGGAGACCATTAGGATCTACCTATGTTAGGTTTTACCAGGTCAGCAAAGAAATCATACATTTATTGCCCTATTCTGCCCACAGCACAGGGGTCTCACTGCACACTGTTCTGCCAGTAGTTGGGGTGGTATCTGTGAATGTGGTCCCTTGGCCATCTAAGCCTGACTCTAAGCTGAGTCACACCTGAGTCTCATAGTAGCAAGGACCTGCACAATCTTAAGGATGCACTACAGCCCACACCACAGGTATTAGTGATATACGCCAACACATAAGTCCGTCCCACTGGGTTGCAAATCTCAGCTTAGAGCTCCATCTACAAGGGCTGGTATAGTAATGGCCAGGGTTGGGAGGGAGGCGGATGCTAGAGACAGTCCCTTGACCACAAAGGCTTAGTCTAAGTTGGGTTGCTCCTGCATCTTGCAGCCATAGGGGCCTGCATAGTATCAGGAGGCAGATGTATGTGCCCCAGGCCCAGCCAAGGCTGGAAATGCACAAATCAAAAATTGAGTCTGTCCTATTAGCATGAAGATCTCTGCCTAATGCTAAGGCTGGTCTACAAGCTACATTTGTGAAATGGGGCCTTGAGTTTCTAACCAGTGTTGAGTCTCACCACAGAAGGCCTGATACTGGACTCCAAGACAACCCTGTGCTATCTTGTACACTGCTCTCCAGCAGATGGAGTCTTGCTCCCACGCTGCTGCCCTAGGCTGGAGAAGAGTGGTGATTGCGCCTGGGTAACTGCAGTTCCAGAGGTTCAGTCCATGGGTACTAGCCTCACTGTAGGTGTCTTGGGACTTTGCACAGCACTGGGTTTTACTGTGGCAGGCCCAGTATTGGATTTTGAGTCTGAAGCCTAGGCTTAATAGTCTCTCCCTCCACCAAGCCAGGAGGTCTCTGTATGGTGAGCTGCTTGGAGTTGGGAAGGGTGACATAGGCAATTCATATTCCTGCCTTCTTTGGTACACCTTTTCATTCTGTTATACTAAAAGCAGGCACTGTGGCCTCTCACATGATTTCTTTAGCCCTTGTGAAGGTACTTTGGTGCATAACTGTTCAACTTGGTGTGTTTGTGGGGAGACAGTTACTGGAGGATCTTACTCAGCCTCCATCTTCTAAATCTTTGAATAATGGAATAAACCTATATCAACTCCCAAGACTTTCATCTGTCATGCAGGCCCAATAGTAGTGGGCATTATTGGTAGAAAGGTTTGAATTACATTTGCATTTCATTTTTGTAATTGCAAATCTTTTTAGAATAGAAAATGAGAGTATCAAAAGTGCTCAGGAATGTTGCTATACTACTACTTATTGTTGAATTATATGTAATTATCCATGCTCAAGCAATAGAATCATGCATGTGGAATCATCGAGGTTTGTGATACAGAACTGGCACAGGTTAAAATGAATTTTACATAAGTAATTTTCAGATTATGGTAGTTGTTTAGTCCAGCTTCCACATTACCCTTTTCTGTCTGAATGGTTCATTTCACTTTTCATATTCTGAAAGATGAATTTCCAAGTTCAGAAACCTTAGAAAACATTATTCCTACTGTTAAACTCAGTGATATTGTCCTGGAGCCATTTGGGCTGATTAAGTGGGTTATCACTTCTGCACTATGAATTTTATGTTTTGTATGTTAGTATGTACATAACTAAACTGGAAAGCTGACTTCTAGATTTCCATTCATTACATTTTGTTTCATTGAAAGTTCACTAAAGTAAGTAAATGTTGGTGTATTTCTTCAAAACAGTGGATCCTTACAAAGCTAGAAGAAGCAAGAGAACCTTCTCCAAGCCTCTGAGAGAACACTGCTGGAAGACACAGCAGTCTATTACTCGTTTGGACACTGTACCTTCCAACATATCAACAGGAAGCACATCACAGGGGTGATTTCTAGATGCGCAAGGAGTCAGATCAGGTAAAAGAGCTATGTGATTAAAACACTTCAACTCTTCGGAGGTCTATCAGTTTCTTTTATTGAATCATGTATCTGATTATAATTCTCATTACTTTATAAAAGAAAATACAGATTATTCTCTGTAGTGGTGGCGAGGTTCCCCATAGTCTCCACATGGAATAAAGCTTAATGTTTCTAGTTCACATTTTCAACTTCTATCATGATTAGTTCAGACTTCTTGAGTGATGGGTAAATGATCAAATTAGACACTGCCTCAGTGTTGTCAAGTGGTGATTTATTCAGAAGTATGAAATTCTTTTTATAAATAAATATTTTGGTATTTTCCTTATTTTTTAAATAAAGGGTAGGTTTGAATTATACTTAAAATGCATAGCATAAGTATGAAAAGCCATCTCTTGAGATTGGACATAGATTGAATAAAATCTTAAAAAAGGTTTGAAGAAATGAACATCACAGTTGTAAAGGGAAAGTCCTTAGGAACTTTAGAGCCTCAGAAATACTTCCTCAAGCCAACCTCATGAAGTCTCTTTATCTCATTCATGTTTTTAATAGACTCTTGATTTCAAAGGAAGATTCGTGAAGCCTTAATAATAAATACCTACTTTCTATTCACTGGTAACAAGAAATAAAATTTTCCACATCTTAGATACAATGAGTTGTGCTTTAGAGCAGATAGTCCCTCTCATAGTAAATGTATGAACCCTAGAATCTAACCCAATAACCGACTGTTAGTGATATATTAACAATTTCTGATTTGCTTTTTTTGTAATTAATCAAATGAGAATCACTTCTTTAAATGTACAGCTCATCAAAAAATTATGGACTATACATTGGTAAAGTAAGGCCATGGAGAGTTTTTTTCTTGACTTTTGTCCAAGATCTTTGCATCTTAATATTTCAAATGTAAAGGGATAAATATATGACTGTACACTATGAACAGAATAGTTCAGTGTCTTAGTTACTGAGAAATATAATATTTGGGTGCATGTTATATGTGTCACCAAATTATTATAAACTGTTTTTGGAATCGAAAACTGTGTAGTCAATGGTTGTACAATTCTCAGTCGCATCAAACCTTTGCTTTGTTGTAAAAGCTAAAATAAACAGCATGCCAGACTCCAATTTTATTTCTTTTTTTTTTTTGGTGCCGGGGATCGAACTCGGGTCCTTGCACTTGCGCAGTAGGTGGCGAAACCACTGAGCTAAATCCCCGGCCTGCAATTGTATTTCTTGTTAACCAAATCCTACTGAATACTATTGATTTCTCTCTGATTATGAAAACACATTGTTTATCAGTAGTCTCCTCTATGATGCTTTTATTTTGCTGAATATAAATTAAATCAGGATAAGAGATTTCAAACCACATCATAGTGTGTCCCCATGATAGCCTTTTTTCAAGTAATGTACATATTTTCTATGTTGTTGGGCTTCTCCACATTGCATACCTCAAAATTTAACATAGGTGACTTGCATTGGATTGCCCTCTTCTGGAATGTTGCTTTCCTGGAGTTCCACTCAATGCCATTAGTCAAATACCTCATTAGCCATTCCAATTTCATGATTTCAGCATCCAGAAAATTATAGACCCATAACTCCCTGATTATACCACAGTGAAACAACAATGTAAAATAGAAAGTGTAGAAATTTTTTTGGTATCCTGTGGCAACCAACAGAACTGTGTCTTAACCAGTACACATACAAACCCATTATGCCTCTCCTTCATGTTCCCTTACCACAAGAACCCAGAAATACATCATCTCCTTTCTCTACCAGTCACCTGCCTATCACATCCTCCTATCACTTTTTCTATCTCTAGAATAGAAGGAATCACAGTTTCAAGAACTATTGTTTATCAGTTATTTTAGAAGATTGTCTTTATCTAAATAACCACAAAAACTAAGAACATTAATAGATCATTAGATGGTCAGCCTTTAGCATATCATTTTATAATTTGCAATTATGTTTGATTCAGTAGTCTTTTTGCATGTAATGGAGTTTGGAATCTTACTGTATTTGAAGACAGTCTGCCCTGAATTACAGTGCATGCACTGCTTTTATCTTTTCTTTTAAAGTATGTTTGTTTCTTCTTCCCTAGCCTTAGCACTGTCTTGAGATTTACCCCCAAGGTCAGTGTACTATACATTGGTTTATCTTATGGTCCCTAAGTAATCATTGCTACCTCTAGGTAGTCCTTCCTTCCCCCCCTTCTCTATAATCCTAATCCATTTGAAGGCAGCTGTCCTGTGGCATTCAAATAAATAATATATTCTCCATAAATGTACATTATCTCCCTGCATCGTAATTGTTTCATTTTTTCTGATAGTGTGTAGGAGCTAAAATATCCCAGTGGATATCTATGCACGTAGCTCATCTCTTAGAAACATCCACAAAGTATTATTTTATTCTTGCCTAGTAAAATAAAAAGAGATTTCTTAGTGCTGAACTTTCTGTACCTTATTTAGTCATGGATTGCCAGTATTAGTTGAGCCTTCAAGCTATGTCAAATGTCACCTTGCATTAAAAGACATTAGTGGCTCCTATATTAAAAAGATTGGGACAAAGTGCTTGGTTAGTTAAGCATAGAGATGCAAGCATAAGTATTCTATGCTTGGTTAGTAAGCCCAGAATTTTCATGTAGGAGGTAAAAGTGTGTACCATATACTCTAAAGATGGGAGTAACACTCCCAGCATTGGTTGTTTTCTTGGCCCACCCAGCACAACTCTGAGAAATCTGGGTTCCAGGCTTTTGTTTTTTATCTTTTTCTTTTCTCGGGATCAACCAAAATCCTGAAATGTATTGTTTTTCAAAGGATAGGTCTTAACCCATTAGTGGGCTATGAAATCAGTTAACCCCTCAAGACCAGCATGTTTTAAAATGGAAAAGAAAATAGAGAACAATAGGTAGGATGTATGAGAAGGTTAAATACTGTTTCTTAAAATGTTTTTGTTAAATATGCTATATACTGTATTTTCTATTGTAAATTGTAGTTTAAAAAAAAAACAAACAATTTAAAAGAACCACATAGACATGAGCAGTCCGGTGAGTGTTGGAAATCTGAATAATGTGGAGCCCCTTAGATAGGAGCACCAAATCCACAACTCAGGAATCCTTCAGATTGCGAACACTCTCAATAGAGTGAGATAGGATAGCTCTTGTTCTGGTGTATCTTTCCTTTCCTACTGTGTAACAGTCTCATATGATTCAGTGACACCAGTAAAAGCATTAGAAAAATTAGATTTATAAATGGCACCCCAAAAACACCATTGGCTATCATTTAGCTAAGTCTATTCCAACCTCCTTACCTTAAGCACTTTACTGGAATTGGGTACAGAAGTTTTGCCATTTAAGTTGAATTTGCTCAGCCTTCTGGCTGATTCACCATATAGGTGACAAAGACCCTTCAGAACAGAGAGCTGATGTATAGAGTACATTCTTGTAGGGCTAAAATACTCATATGCTGGGGGGTGCCATACAAATGTCAGTGCATTATGACTAAAAGTATAATAGCTTTCCTTATTTAAGATTCAAGTAGAAAATAAGAGAGAGTTCGTATTCCTTACGCTGACTTGATATAAAATTTAGTATGATTCCTTTTGGTGCAATGCAGTATTATAAATAGCTCCTTTACCCTAAAAAGGAACCCATTTATCCCCCTGAAAAATCCTTTGAGAAATACTTTTGAAGTAATGATAACTTAATGAAAGTAGCATCAGTTAACATTCTGTGATCATTGTAGTCCATATTTTCGGTTATTGGCCGGTATAGTTATTAATGCAACTTTTTCCCCCACTTGTCTTTCTGCCACAGGGGTCTGAAGGGTTTGTTTCAGGGGTATCTTAAAAGCCCGTCTGTCACCTTGCTACACCTTGCTGTGCTCTGACAGACCTCATTTATGTTTAACTGAAACCTTTTTCTACTTTATTTTCTCTTTTGTAAAATAAATCACTCCATATCATTTTAAAAAGATATTTTACTTTAGGATTATGGATTAGTTCTAGTATTTTAAAGCATTAGAGCATTTTTTTAAATGGTAGTTTTGGTTACTCAGAGAGCTACACAAAAAACACAGCTTCAAATTTTGTAGGTTGATATATTTTTAAATTTTGTATTACTTTATACAGATATAAATTTGTATTATAGTTTAACATCTACAGTGATATATCAAACTGCTGTAATTAAAATCTGTCACTGAACACCATTTCATATTGCTCTGATATCTTAATAACATGTTCCTTCTAGTGAAGTCCTTGTAACAAGAAACCCTATGAGACTGGTAATGAAATACCGAATAATTAGAAGTGTACCTAACATCAAACATGTTGAAAAACCTCAACCTTTCTTGTCTTGCCATCATAGATCCAGTGTAGCATAGGTTACATGGAAATATTCTCAGGATCAATGGTTATAAACCCCCACCCACAAACTATTAGAAATTGTATCTGGGACTTGTTACAAGGTAAGGTAGATTGTTACAGACTTTAAAATAGTCTTGCTGATGTAACTGTATTACAGTTAATGAAGTTTTCAGGGAGAGTATACTTTAAAAATACTTTCTCCTGCAAACTTATATTTACCAAATAGTCTGTTTCTTTGGTAAAAATTAGTTATTAATAATTAAGCTTTAAAACATTTCTGCTTTACCTCAGTATTTTCTTCACTTCTCTTTACCCTGTCCCTTGTATATGAGCTTGGCCCAGTTGTCTATTACACAGCCTCTGCCTTACTTCTTGTATATTTTGGTAAGACCATGCATAAACACGAAAGTTTACATTCTGAAGTTCTTACTCTTAAAACTGACTTTAGTCTCTGTCCCCCCAAAAATTTGGTTTATATTCACTAATGACTTTTCTCTAACAATACTTAATTTCTTAGTATCAGTAGATTTGGATTGCATGATGACAGCTCACTTTAACCATGTATGCCTTTTTAAATAAATTGAGTCCAAAAAATCTTTCTGATCTTCAGTCTGCTTTGGTTTTTAGCTACTGGGTAGAACTAGAAAGAATATCAATTGTATTCCCTCGCCTATCTAAATTCTGCACACTGTGGGGCCTAAATAAAGGTCCCCAGGAAACCAAGGTTCTGGTTTTTCAGTCAAAGCAGACAGCATTCCAACCCAGCATGATCACTGCAGACTGAAAGTTTAGCAGATACTTGGTGAACTCTGAAGCTCCAGCACTGTCTGTCTCAACAATTTCAAATGTCTTATTTTCTTAGTAAGTTGTAAGAGTATATTTTGAAAGAAGGGCTAAGGGGAGAATTTCTCCCAGCAAGATCAATATTATCAGAAATGATTAACTTAAATCTTATGAAGAAAGGCATGTCTTTTCATGCTTAAGAAAATACTTCATCATTACTCCCCTTTAAATGACGTATTGCATAGCCTTCCTATAACTAATTATTGAAAGCCATCATTTTCTTGTATGCTTTATCAGCCAGATAAATTAACAACTCGATGCTAGAAAATGCTTGAAATAAAAAACATAATCCCAATTGTTTAATTTCTTCGATTGCTGGTTCTGTTGAAACCTTTTCATGTTAATTGGTCAGAGAGCCCCAGTTCATAATCTTTAGCCTAGTATGTGTGGCAGGGAGAAAAATCGGTGATGTCTATCTGATGATATTCTTAAATATCTTGAAGGGCTACTGCCCCTTCTCTCTGTTCTTTTTTGCTGAACTGTCTATTCCTGGACCTTCACTGCTTCAAATAAACTTTAACATCAGTTTGTCAAGTTCTTCATCTAGAATAAGGATTTATTTTTAAGATTTAATATTATTGTAGAAGAATTTAAATCTTTTCTGGCATTGATACTCTTCTTTAATGGCTTTACACTAAGAACTGTTCCAAAAGAATGAGAACTTGACAGTCCAATTACTGGCTGAAAGGAAGGTTTAAGACAGCTGGAAGAATACTGTTGTATAATGAATGTAGTCAGGATACATTTTGTATAGATGCTTCTCAACCTCATAAACTCATGGTAAATTGAAAATATATGCACCTAACCTGTAGAATCTTAGCAACACAGTGCACTGTGGAATAAGGATTATTTCCCATGAAGAGCACATGACTGACCAGAAGATGTTGGTTTCAGCTGCACCCCATCATCATTGGACAGTGTCAGACAGACACTATTGTTAGCCTGAGAAAAGATCCAAATTCAAGGTATGATTTCAGCTGAATGTGTATCACTTTTACACAGTCATGCAGTCAAGCCATTTTTAATTTGGAGACTGTCTAGACCAGCAGTCCCTGACTTTTTTGCTGCCAGGGACTGGTTTCATGGAAGACAATTTTTCCACAGGCAGGGAATGGGAATGGTTTTGGGATGATTCAAGTGTATTACCTTTATTGTGCATTTTATTTCTATTACTTTCGATTCTCATAAAGATCACGCAACCTAGATCCCTCCCATGCGCAGTTCACAGTGTGGTTCAGGCTCCTGTGAGGCTGTAATGATGACAGGAGGCAGAGTCAGTCAGGTGGTGATGGAGTGGTGAGAGGAACTGTGAATACAGATGGAGCTTCTCTCACTGCTCACCTCCTGTGCAGCCCATTCCTAACATGCCATGTACCAGTACCAGTCTGTAGTCCAGGGATTAGGGGCCCCCGGTCTAGGATAGATATGGCATACCTTAAATCCCTACATGTTGTGCTTGTGTGTGCACCTTCACATAACAATCGGAAACACCTGCTTTAGCCAGTTGCTAAGGGAACTCCAACATAATATGATGAATACAGACTTATTTCAAAAGAAGACTTTGGAAAGTTTCTGGATTACTATTAAGTCTACAGCACTTTTCTCTTTTAGAGAAGAACCATCAACCCTGTGCTCTAAGAAACAACATAATCAGTGCTGGTAGCAGAATGGTAAAATTCTTAGTCTTCTGAGAAAGGTATAGCATACATAGTTCAAACATAGCATATCTGTGGTGACCATCAGATCTTTGGCAGTGGTTACATAACATTTGCTAAACAATTTTTCACTTTTAGCCATTTTGTAAGTTTATAAGACATAGCCACATGCATTAGGACACATGTTTTCACCAGTATACCATAAATGCTATCTAAAGCACATTTACCATATGTCAACTTTGGCTTCACAGTAGCCAAATTGTGGCAAAACTAAATGTACTGAGCCCAGTATATTCAATAATTCGGCCTAGGAAATTGACATATAAAATGAGCCAACTATTAAAAAAAAAACAGTGGCATGTTAAAGGAGCCATACTTCAGCAGGAAGAGAGAAAAATATTAGAAATTAGGAATGTATCTAAATTAACAAGATTTAATGTGTCGACTCCATTAACATCTTTTAAAAATGAATCCTAGAGGTCTGAAGGCATCAATAAATTAGCAGACCCCTCTATTAAGTGATTTTCAATGGCTATCGCTTAACTTTTTAAACATAAATCATGGTAGAATTGAAAATTCTGTGAAATATCAAATTTTAAAAACACAATCTTACAGCCAAGAGACAAGAAAAAAACTATAAAACCAACTTGGGAATTAAGACTTAAAAGGTTTTGTAAACTAACATCTTCCAAGTTCCATTACCCCTCTCTGTCCTAGTGGTCTGCATGATGTCCATGGTGCCTGGCACAGGTCCTTGGTCGGGTAAGTCTGAAGCACTTGCAAATGAAACAAGCAGCTTGATCATCATGTCTTCTGTTATGGGGAGGAGAGGGCAGCAGCTTTTAAACTAAGTTGAATTCCCTTAGATTTAGCTGTAGAATTGTGTCTTTGACAGCAGCAAACACAAAACGGATATTCTCCGTATCTGTAGCACACGTAAAGTGGGAATAGATGACTTTCTCTTTGTCAGGATTCTGGTCTTGATAAAGTTTCAAGATAAAGTCTCTGGCAGCTTTGACATCCTGCTTTGGTCCTAGTCACAAATGCAGTTAGAATAAAAAACAGACTTACAACCATGTCCTCCCAAGAACCATTTAAGATATACTCTCATTCCTATCTGGAAATCCTTCTTTGATCTATCTTTATTTCTAGGAAATAATTTACTTTCAGTGTTATTTTTAGTGTATTTCATTGTGAATCCAAAAAGTAGTATTTTACATGCCCACTGCTATCTAAAAATTGTATTTTAAGAATGTTTAAAAATGGTGCAATTTAATTCTGATTCGAACAATCATTAAGAGAATCCTTGTACAGACAGACTTGTGGGCTGGGAGAGGGAAGAGGAAGAGTGTGAGAATGAAGTTGGTTCTAAAGTTTGAAGGATCGACAGTGTGGTTGATGAAAGTAGTGCTGAAATACCCTCTGAACATCAATATCAAAGTCAGTAATATCTGATACCCCTTATACTAGGAATAATTAGCAGTAGGGCAAGAAACTCTCTTGCCTAATCCACCGTGTCTGGAAAGAGGATTGCACTGTTGAACCCCAGGAAGCACCAGGTGCTCTGACTGGCCCTGGGAGTGCAAAGTTGGGCACAGCCTCTGCCCCCAAGAAGTTGACCAGGATGAGAGCTGAACTTGCAAGCTAACACACAGTACTGCACAGTGGGATGATGGCCAAGGGAGCGAGTGAGGCAGCAGCGGTGATGGTGCGCTCCTGTAGGCCCTTCCAGCACAGAAGGCCCAGAAAGCCTTCCCAGGAGAGAGGAGGCCTGAGTTGTGTCCTGGAGAGCCACAAGGAGTCAGCAAAAAGGAATGAGCAGGTGTATTCCAGGCTGGGAGGGAGCTGCGCGGAGTCTGAATATGAGCTCTCAAAGGTGGGGAATGGTGAGAGGCTGTTTTGACATATCAGGGAGAGCTGTGCAGGCTGCTGAGGACTTGGGACTTATCTAGGTGGTCAGTGAAGTAACAGAAGCACTGTCCCCAAGATGAACACTTACCTTTGTATTCTGGAAAATAGCTAATTAGATGAGAGTACATGATTTTTTCTTCCAAAAGATCCTTCTTATTTAAGAACAAAATCACAGATGAGTTCAGAAACCAGGGGTAGGTGATGATGGTTTTAAACAGGGCTTTGCTCTCTTCCATGCGATTCTAAGAGAGAAACAAAGGAATTAGGGAAACTAAAGGCCACACTTCGGAAACAACATGCCACATGGCTAGTGCATCCGTCAGTCCTTTCTGCACTGCTGCTGCAGTCTGGGTCACTGCCTTTGCTGAAGCTAGTGAGCAAGAGGGCCCACAGAGCACAGGCTTATTGCCCCTCCATCCTACCCCCAGTAATTTCTGTTTTCTGGATCTCCTTTCCTGGAGTGTCTGAAACTGTACCCCAAAACTAGGATGCAATGAGAAAGGCTTTTGTGCAACTTGGAACAGGAAGGCCACATTTGGTAGAAGTGTGCTGTGCTGTATAACTATTGGGATTACCCTGTGGGGAAGTGCCAGCTTCAAACCTGAGATGGCCACTTAACTGGGTGGCATTTGCAGACCATGCCTCAGGAGTCATGTGACATGGGAGGGAGGGAGGCTCCTCCAGGAGGGCCACCACCCTTAGGAATGCCAGACTGTGGCCACACAGGGAAGTAACATTGTATTAAGCTGCACAAGTGGAAAAGGAAATTGTCCCTGTTGGATATATGTGCATGCTATCATTCAGAAAATGTAAAGAACTGCCCTAAACTTGTGTAATGGTGGGATCTGGCAAAGATTATGTACAAAGACCATAAGTTCCAAATATTAGACAGTATAATTAGATAAGAAAATATTAAGTGTTCCTAATTTATGGAGAGCAGAGAATGCACATACAAATCCTACTGATGACAGTAACTGTTCTAGATAGCACTCTTCTAAGTATTTCTAGGGGAAAAGAAACAAGAACTAACCTTTAGGGAAGGACGTTGTCAAACCAAACATCCAAGCTCAACACAACTGTGCTCCAGAGGAACTTGCCCTAACTTTACTCCCACAGCTCTGAACTATCAGGACTCTCTCTCCTGCAGTGTATCCGGGGGAGTAAGATCCCAAACATGTTAGCAGAGTGAGAACCTTCACGTCTTTTTAAAACTTCTCTAAAATTTACTAGGATCTTGTCGATAGTAATTCCAAAAGAAATGTCCTTATAAAAGATTCCTGTACAGTGGAAAGTACAATTGACATTAAAAAAACTGTTCACAGAAGTAATAGTAGAAAACTTCCATGACAGAGGTAGAGAATTGGACATACAGATAAGTGAGGCATATAGAACTCCAACTAGCCACGATCAAAAAAAATCTACACCTAGACATACAATAGTCAAGATCCCAGAAAACCCAACAGAAGAATAAAATCCTGCAAGCAGTTAGAGAAAAGAAACAAATACCTAGAAAGGAAAGCCCATCAGAATCACAGCAGACTTCTCAACACAAGCTGTCAGTCAAGGAGAGCCTGGAGTGAAGTATTTCAAGCCCTAAAAGAAAATAACTTCCAACCTAGACTGTTGTATCCTACAAAATTATCTTTCAAAATTGATGGGGAAATTAGATACTTCTACAACAAAGA